GCCAATTGTATCTGTCAAAAATACAAATACAGCCAGTAAGCAGGGTCTGGAGTAGAAAATAAGCAGATCACTGAAAGCTTGCCAAATTCCAAATCAGTGGAGATTTTTATTCACAACTTTTTGGATGTGGATGTCAGTAAAGGTTGAGGCAGTAGTTCTGTTACCCTATGGACCCCTTTTTGTTTAATTTAACACAAAGAGACTGAGGACTCTTCAGAGAAATCAGGAAAAAAACTGAGATGATAAGGCACTTTGTGTTACATAGCAAGTTTTTTTCTTATTCCATAAATCAACACATAACGCCCCCATAATATCAAACAAACTACTGGGTGGTCATTTTGGGTGTGCGCTACATAAATGTCACATTGTTGTAAGCAGCTCTTATCATCTCCCAGTCTCTCTCCTTGTCTTTGCTCATGTCTGGATCCGCTTTGCTCTGTGTGATGAAGCTAAAAATGCAAAAGCCTCGGGAAAAGACAGCTCGGTGAGACAGATCTTAGACAGACACACCAAAAGTGAAACTGAGTGTACAGTGTGCAGAGAGAGCAGGAGAAGGAGAGAGAGAGAGAAACATGTGTGTGTTCCTCTGGGCTGACCAGTGACCACTTCTGTTTGTTTGACTGTTGCCTTCCTGACCACCACTCTGACCAGACCGCTGGAAAAACAACAGCAAGGGCTGCGATGAAAAAATTGGTTGCAGGCCTCATTCTGGTGAGTCTGGACAACAACAACAGAATTAGCTTCTTAGAACTTGTGTAAAAGTAGTTTTCTATAGGTGTACGACTATCACTAGTATTTATGAGATTCTGACGACTAATTCAATACTTCATGTTAATAAAAAATATCTGAAATAGTTGCACACAAACAAACTGCATCTTGTAACGTGTTATTCCTTTTCCAGTGTGTTTACGACTCTTGATAAATGGCACCGGGTGTTAGACAAAAAACCTTACAGAGGGTGTTCTGTCTCAGCAGGGGCAGCCCTTTCCTGGTAGCAAATGGGATATCTAGATGTACTAATTGAAAATAAACTGGATTTGTCTGTTTTTATATGTTTATAACTTTTTATATACATAACTGATAGATGTAAAAACAAAGATTCTTATCTCTTATCTCTGTCTTTAACACAGTCTAATGATGGCTCCAGACGTGGTCCAACACAAAACAAGACAAGACAGAGAGAGAATGAGTGCATGGCTGTGTGTGTGTGTGTGTGTGTGTGTGTGTGTGTGTGTGTGTGTGTGTGTGTGTGTGTGTGTGTGTGTGTGTGTGTGTGTGCTGTAAGCACATGAGAAATCATTTAGGGTTAGAAAACCTTAGCTCTGGTTTGGCAGTGGGTGACTGTCAACCATTAATGCTTTCTCCATAAACAATTTCCAAAAACCACAAAATATCACTAAATATTTCTTACCCTTGGACACAGATAACAATGAAAAGCAGCAGATTTATACATTTTTCTTCACTATTGTTTTATTTTACTATAATACTATATGATCTTATTGTTGTAGCCTGGGTGTGGAGTTCTGCTTCTTTCAATTATGATTTTATAACATTTCTGCGTCATGTGACAAGAAGTTTGACTACAGATCAAGACTGACGATCTTAGGAGCATTTTGTTTTCCTGCTTCATCAAATAGCAAAATATATCTAATTAAAAACATTCTAAATGATAGAAGATTGTCATCATGTTTGTATCGCAAAGAAGAAAAGAACAGCATTTGCGTTACCAGATTAAAAGTTGTTGCAATCTACATGTTCGGATGCTTACTGTCATCAATCTTGACAAACAAACATGATCACTAAAACCCCACAACACTTTTCTGCTTAACTCTTGTGCTATGTTGAGTTTCCTTTGGCGTGGCACAATTTGCATCCAAGCAGGCAATTTGACAGGAAATAAATTGTCATGTATAAACTGTTTTGTTAACTTGTTGTGGCAATAAAGCTTATTATGGGGAAAAATGAAAACCCTCAACAATTTTCCACATAGGTCAGTCAGGAATCTGCAGGCCAACTCCTGCAGGCTAATGGGATCATTACTCGGGAAGAGAAATATGCTAAATATGTGGTTGTTCTGTCAAAAAGGCACAAAGCTAATTCCTCTGAATCCGATTTGAAGTCAAGCCTGGATGAATTTCAAGTAATCATAATTGAACTTGCAGCGTTATTGTAGTTTAAAGGTCCGGATCTTTCCAAGTTTCTGGTCACTGCAACATGTCACACTGACAGTTCAGTAAATGATAAGATACAAAATACACAAACACAAATAATCCCATCCTGAATGTGTCGAGACGTCCTTTTGTACAGATTCAAAGAGACATGAGATGGTCACTGATAAGACTGGTCTCACACTTGATTGTAACAGGGAAGTTGAGTATGCCGATATAATGGGCTCCATTGTGGTGTGTGTGTGTATGTGTGTGTCTGTGTGTATGTGTGTGTCCTCTGACCCCTCCAGGGATAATTAAGGACACATTTTTACCCAGGTCTGTCTTGGGTATGGCTTGAGGGCTGGGATGTTTGTGTGTGTGTGTGTGTGTGTGTGTGTGTGTGTGTGTGTGTGTGTGTGTGTGTGTGTGTGTGTGTGTGTGCGTTGTGTGTGTGCATTTGTGTATTTGCACATGTGCATACACCCTAATGTGCCCCATCCCGTTCCTTGTACACGCCGACCCAACCTGCCCTCCGTATGTCTAAGACTAGTGCTTCTGGGCTGATTGCCCGTATCACTTTCACTCACCAGCTAATAGCACACACACACACACACACACACACACACACACACACACACACACACACACACACACACGAATACACACCGAGGCACACACCTTTTTAGACCAAGCCCTTGTAAAGGCACCTCCTTTGGGACACTCCGTGAAATGTACTCCTTGTTAGGGCTCGGGTGTGTGTGCGTGTGTGTGTGTGTGTCTGCTTTTCCTCAGCTGTTTCCTGCCAGCTCAGAGACCAACAGACTGTGAAGGCTTCTCTCTCTCCGCTCAAAATTCACTGCTTTTCTGCTTTTAAACAACCAAAGAGTCTTTGGATGAGGAAATTTCTGACGATGTCATCACAAGGAAAATCTGACTGTGAAATTGATGGCACTAAAAGCTGATCCTCTCTCCTCCATACATATCCCATAATGAACTAAATCAAATTATAGTGGGGGGGTGGGGGGGGGGCAGATTCTTTCCAAGGGTATGTGCCCTTCAATGTGAAAATATCATAAACTATGTTAAGCCTTTTATGGTTTCATTGATGATAAATCAACTTAGTTAACTTAAAAGTCCACATTGTGCCATTTATGAGTGTGATGAAGTCCAAAATGGACATTTTAATTTAAGTATTTGGCTGTTGCACATTTTCATTAAAGGATAATGTTGACACCATTTTTTACTTCACATCTGATGATATGACTAATGGTGACATTTGCTCTGGATCTGTTTTATTTCTGACATTTAAACAAAATAATTAATCAATTAAGGGAGAACATAATCATAAAATTAAACAGTAATGAAAATAATTAGTTAAAGCCTGAAGAATTATAAAATGTTTCCTTTCAATGGTCCTCAAAAAACACATATTTTCTGGTAGAGGTCCCTGCTAGAAACAAGATAAAATAACATTGTGAGACATCTGGCCACAATAACTAAACCTGCTGATTCGAGTAAATGGTAATTTACCTGCAGATATCTTACACTTGTGTATATTTTTATATTCTCACATTCAGTGCATAATTGAATTGAAATCTTTGCTCCTAAACAATTTTGTTTCTTGAAAGTATTTTAGATATGGTTGATATTTTTTATTTGGTTTTGTATGCATTCAAAATGTTGTTGTATTTTTGATGTAAGACATATAGCGAGTGTTGAGAGGTTGTGGAAATGTTTGGCAATGTTTTGGCACTTAAAAACTAACTTTATCTAGAGTGAAAACCCACCTGAGTAAATTATTACAAAATAGCCTTGTCTTCTTTATTAGGTGTGAACAATGCTTTGATTAAACAACCAGACATCAATTAGACTGCAACAGGACAAAGACTGTCTGCCTGAGATACACGTCATCCAACTGAGACACATGAATACACACACACACACACACACACACACACACACACACACACACACACTGAGGCATCCATGGTTAAGTAGCCAACTTTGTGGAATCTTCTTTGCTGCTATCTGATCTCTTTATCCTCCCTGTTTAAAGTCAAGTCTCTTATCAGGTGGCTGCCACTTATGAGGTTGCTGCATAGTTATAGAGGAATTTAAAGTATTGAACTGGCATGTCTAAAACTATGTGAAATGACTCCACAAGACTGTTTCTAGTCAGTCCTGAACTGATAAAAGGATGTTTTATTGAGCCTCTGCTTTGGAGGAAGAACCGAAACAACTCTGTAGATCAATGGTTCAGTCTAGTCTGGTTTAGTTTAGTCAGCTAAGTCACTGATCAATTGCAGGGCTGCTTATGAACACCAGTTTCCCTAACATGATCAACAAATAATGAGAGGGGAAACAGAAACGTGAATTTGTCATGAAAGGTATAAGTAAGAGAAGTGACCTGGGAAAAATCATGGAATGTAATTTTTTATATATTTATAAATATATGATATTTCCACATCTGAAAGGAGCTGTGTTGCCTTGCAGATTAAAAAGAGAAAGCTAATTAGCGAATTCCACTTCTGTGATCAGCTGGGATTTTTAACTTGTCTTTGTTTTCTCTTCCTTTACACAAGTTTTTCAAGCTTCTCAGACAAAGACGCCTTCTATCTCCTTTGCAGAAGTGCTCTCCTAACAAAAAGAGGAATTTCGGTCATTTAAGTAATCTTATTGAGTGCTTTGGTGCACGGGCACATGAGCCGAGACTAATAAAGACCTAAATGTTATCTTTTGACATTTTATCCTGAAACACAGCATGGCGTCTGTGGAGTTGATTTTTTTTAACGTCACAGAAATATTATACTTTGCTTCTTTATCCCTCCATAGCATGTATTTAACACCAACCTGCTCCAAAGGCAAAGAAGAAGCTCTTGTCAGGGTGGTCTTCTAGCAGTGCCTTGACCCTCTTCCCCATCCTCTCATTCCTCTTGTAGATGAGCTCTTGTCGAAAGTAGCTGTCTATTTCCTGGGCAGTCACCTGCTCGCTGGGTGGCAGTGTCACGTTATTGAAGTTAGGGACCTAGGGTTGCAGGCGTGATGGTTCAGTTAGGCAACAAAGGTGAAAAGGATAGGAAGCAAAAATTAAAAATGCATTACACAAAATTTGCTCCACCTTCTTGCCAAACTTCAATATTGACAATAAAGATAACAAAATAATAAATGTATGGTAATTGTATGTACTAACCAAGATGCACAGGGATTGCTAGGAGGTAAAATAGCAAATAATAGCAGGAAAGACATGGCAGGGACGATGGAGGGAAGAACTAAGTTTGTAATAGTATAGAGAGGCTAATAGAAGGGAGGGTGTAGGAGTAGTTGTGGGGGATAAAAGGTCGGTCGGAGGGTTAGGGGTGAAGGTAAAAGGTCAAGGGTCGTGTCAGCGGGACACCCCAAAGGTCAAGGGGTCAGAATGACTCTTAGTTTATTAACTAGAGTGAAAGTAGTTAAAGTCCACTGCCTCATAAGATAGATGAGATGAGATGAGATGAGATGAGATGAGATGAGATGAGATGAGACAAGACTAACCTGTGAGGTGTCGTGATTGAAGATGATGGAGTTGAGATCTCCACAGTTGTAGTGCCTGATGAGGTCCTCAGTGGTGTATGGGACCTGTAGGCTTCCTGCCCTTAAAGACTCCTGCTGTAATAACGTCTGGTTCAGGGCAAAGATCACCTAGAATGAGACAATGACAACTTGTTATTGATTTATTAATGTTTTACCCTGATGGAAGATAAACAGCAAGAGCAGGAGAATGTTGGTTCACTGATTAGAACTACATTCTTGAATTACATTCAGTTACTGGATTAATGTACAAATTTGCTCATGATTACTTTTTCAGATCTACACTCGTCATTTGTTTCCATGAGAAGGTTAAAATTACTCAAGTAGTACTTTGAAGCTGCTAATTAGCACTAACCACAAACAAGAGCTGAGGCTGGAATGTTATTAGCTTTGTAGGTCTTTGGTCATAAACCAAAGTACAGGTTACATTTTTGACCTGATGATGGCAAAATGGAGGATCACCAAAAGTTATTAGGATTCCTCCTGAGGGGGCCATGAATGCCTGTACAAAATTCAACGACAATCCATCCAATAGTTTGAGACATTTCATTCAAAACAACAGATGTGAACCATATGGTGGCACTAAAGGAAACCAAAGTCATTAGGATATACACCATGAATGTATGGAAACATTGTAGGGTTAATAATCTGTCCAAAAGTTATTGAGATATTTCAGTCTGGACCAAAGTGGTAGACCAACTAACTGACCCGACCAACAGACCGACATTCACAGGCTCACATGCTGCTGGCTAAAATTCACACATCTCACATGTACCACAAGGTTAACAGTCACTTTATTGGGACAGCACCCATTTGACATTTGGATTAAATATAACATTCTGAAATTTGTTGGTCATTTTAGATTTTCATCAACTTTTTATTACATCTTATTTTGATCTAAAAACCAAAATGGGTAGAGTAAAAGATTTAGATTTACTGAACTATTACAGCAAAGGAGACAGTTTTCAGTTTTCCTGCCAAAACACTCTCCACTCTCCTGCAGAGATTCAGTTATTGTGCGAGCGTGAAATCGGCCAGTGTTTGGTGAGAGGGCCCTGGTGAGCCTGCCGCCTATGATCAGTACCGCAAGGACACACATATGCATACATGCACATAAACACACACACACACACACACACACACACACACACACACACACACACACACACACACACACACACACCGAATGTCCTAAAGGTCTACACACAGCAAGAATGAGACAGGCACACAAACCACTGCCACTCACCTCAGCACACGGCCCCTCTCTGATCTCTTCACCATACGTGCATACACACACACACACGCATACACACCGTTCACCCTGCAGACCACTGATGTTGATTCCCATAAGGGGGGAAAGTTTGTATGGTTTATTTGTTTCTTAATGGGAACAATCAGTCAGTGAAGATGTGTTTTGTTAGCTGTGGAACTGTGTAAATGTGTTTGCCGTATGTCTGCATGTTTTTACAATTCAGTGTGTACGTACTTGCCTGTGTGTGTCTGCACGCTCAGATCTTTGTCAAATGAATTCTGTATTAATATGCATGCCCGTACACCAACCAGGCCGACCCAAGTGGCTGGTTTTTTTTTTTATTTTTTTTTCATGTTCTGTTTTCTAAGGTGCTCTGATGACACTTTTCTCTCTCGGCTGGCCCATTGTGGGAGCCTCGGTATAGCAGAGGAGAGGAAGAGAGGAGGGCAGTGTGGAGCAGATGCCTTCTTGTCAGGGGACAAAGAACCCCTCCGTCACCCTCTCTTCTCCTCTCCTCTGCGCTCCCTCCAGCTTTCATCGCCCGCGCATCAAAGTGGCGCTCTGCATATGAAAAGGGCCCCGTCTTTATGCCACGCAAATTAGCCTATCGCCACCCCTCCCCGACTCATTTCACAAAAACACCCTCACATCTGTGCCACGTCCGTGAAGGAAGGCCCTCATCTGCAGGGTCTCCCCTTTTTCTCAGCTCCCTCTTCTCCTCTTTCTCCGCTCGCCGTGCCTTTCAGCCCCTTAAATTATGGCTGTGAAGGGAGGGGGGGAGGAGGAGGAGGGATTGGAGGGTGGGGGATCAGTCATAGCCAGATAAAAAGAAAGAGAGTAAAAAGGTTTGGGGAAGGAAAGAGATAGACAAAAAGAAGAAAACACAGGCAAGAAAGTGAGGAAGGATACAGAAAACAGGAGGAGAGAGGAGGAGTGAAAGAAAGAAAACCTTAATGAATGATTTCTTTCTTTCCGTTGTGATCCTCCTCTTCTGTTAGTGCACTGTGGGTCAGTGGGTGCATTTTCCCACTCGGCTCCTTTCATCAGGTCCCCCTGTTTCTTCTTCTCCTCCACTGCTGCCCCCCTATCCCGCCCCCTCCAGCACGCACACACAGACACACCCCTTGCTGATATCAAAGCAAGCAGAGCCAATGAAAGTCAATAATTGTCCTTTGTCATGGAAATGGCTCCTCTTGTTGAGATGGAGTGGGGTGGGTGTGTGCATCCAGAGCAAACATCATCACAGTCAGATTCCCACATGTGGAGATCTGGAGTGTTTCAGCGGCTCGGCTGAAAAAACCCTCGCTGCTCTTGCTCTGAAGTGTGTTGGCTTAGCTCAGGATTTGCAAGAAAAGTGGCAAGCATGCTTAGTAGAGTGTCTTTGAGGAGAGGTAACATTAATTGCATTTATGAAATGGTGGATCACTTCCCAACAGTCATAGAAATCATCAGTCTGCTGAGAACTCTGATGACAAAAAGATGGCAGCAGTGACTCGTTTCAACCTGTTTTACACAGTTCCACAAAAGCAGACCATCCAACTACAGCAATGATGCATTGCATAGTGGAAAGTAGCACTGTCACTATCATTGAACGTGGAAAAAGTGAATATTCAATCTGTAATGAGCAATTCAAATTCAAAATTCAACACAACAGGCCACTGAAGTCTAACCCAGACCTACACTTGTAGACGTATTGTTCTCTTCAGAAACCAAAAAAAGATGCAAACTAGTGAACTGGGTAATCGCAGTGTGTTGTAACATTATTTTGGGAGCTACACCAAAGAGAGCAAAATGGGTGTTCGCAAACATTATGAAGAGAAACCGTCAAATGCTTGTTTGAGTTGGATAAGGCCATTGTCGAGTGAGAGAGACATAACCACACGTTGAACCCCGACCAATCAAAGCTTGCATGAGGTATATCGGTTGATCGGGAAGGGGGTGCCAGAGGCCGCCACCACCAATAACAACATTCCTCTTTTAAGTTGCCATGTTGAAAGCTGTGTGCAGGATGGCGTTCTGGGCTCTCTCTTTCTACGTCAATGTCAAGGAAAACATTGCAGATGTTGTCAGTCGGGAGCTGATATCCTGTAGTCTGATCCCGGTGTAAAATTTTCATGGCCACAACAGCAAATATGAGGAGTCACCTGCTAGCTTCTTCTACAAGAACGCACCATAAATGAGGAGGACAATGTCCACTTTGCAACAGAATAAGGGGATGAAGTTCCAGTGTGTAACACTTATTGGCATAGGTATGTTTTCATCAGTGTATAATCACCTGAAAACCGGTTTTCGTTACCTTAGAATGAGCCATTTTTATCTTCAGAGGGTCCTCTTCGATGGAGGCCGCCATGTTGAACCAGCATATGTCTACAATAGGCCAAAACGGACAAACCAAAACCACTGGCTCTAGATAGGGCCTTTGGATTAGGGTTACGGCAACATAGTTTCTCCTTCCCACTTGGTTGAGTCAAGGGGTTTGAGTTGGTTGCAATTTGCAACTTTACAGCTAGATGCCACTAAATTCTACACACTGGTCCTTTAATTGTAATGCTATAATTCATACGAACTAGTTTACTTTGAAACTGACAGTCCTGTTGAGGACAAAGACCACTTTTAACAACAGGACGTAATGACGGCACAACAGCCTGCAATGTTCAAACACAGTTCATTATCAGACTGCTTCTCAGTTTCATCTCCAGTATATTTCGACCTTAACACTGCTGCTGTAATCACCATAGACATAACAAGAAAAGATAAGATAACTTGAGGTATTTAATCTCAGCAACAACATGTCAGCACCACATTCTGTCTGTATATAAATGTATAGTGTGTGTAAATTGTATGTGAGGTCCTGTCACAGTATGAATCTGCTGCAATGTGAGCAGCTTGTAAACACCAAGATAAACTCCTTGTATGGTAAAGCCCCCGGCTAATTGATGTTATTCTGATTGTAAGTGCTGGCACTGGAGTCGGAGAGTATTTCGGTAACTTCATTTCCAAATGAATTTTGATAAGAAACTAAAGAGGAGCATGTGTGAGCCTGCATGCAACCAGCTTACTGTTGGTGTGTGTGTTTGTTCTTGTTTTCTAAGTGATACTGTGTGTTTGTGTGTGTAAGCAGAAAATCAACAAGCGTTTCGAACGTAGCCCGTCCACACTGTTGACAAACCATGTGCTTAAAAAAAAAAACACACACACACACAAACGCACACAGCAGTTGCAGCCAATTTCAAAGAGCCTTGGACATCTCCCAAGTACAAATGAAGACTTCCAACAGCTCATCTGTTTCCCCCTGACTCCCTGATGTTATCAGAGCTACAGAGAAAGAGAGGAGAGTTGTCTATGATTTCTACCAGAAATCAGCGGAGAAAGAAACAAAACAGGCGAACCAATAAGAAGGAGGGAAAGACAAAGAGAGAGCCAGATTACGAGAGAAATGGACACTCTGTGCTGATGCTACCGATGAAATCTCAGAGGAGGAGATCACAGGCAGAGATGAAGGTGGACAGAAATAGATGGAGATAGAGATTCTGAGTTACTTATGAGTGATGTTATTAGTGTAACGTTAGTCGGAGCAGTCGGCCTTAAAACAAGACCCATCAGGAGCACAGTAATACTGCCAGGGTTTTTACAGACACACACTAACACCTGGTTATTTGACTACTTGGTTTACTTTGAACTGCAGGAAGTAACCTGTCTTTTATTTCATCTTCCAGACACATTTTAATATGAGTAGCAGATATACAACAGATTTTATATAGGACTGATTTTAGCAGCAGATTTCATGGCTGACTGCTGTGTTTGTAAAGCACTTTATGAACATTGTATGCAAATAAAGTTATTAAAAACTGCATGGACC